GGGGGGGGGGGATGTAACTTCAATGTCACTTTAAGTGCTTAGGCAGGGAGGGTTGCAGGTTAGGAGGAACTTAAGAAGAAATATTCTTAATAAAAACACTGGACGACTATAGTATACACACTAGTTCTTGGTGGCAGGAGCCTCATGCTGAGAACTTCCAGCACTAAGAACCTGTGTATCACATCTGAGACTCACTTGCAGGCCCTGTACAGGTCCGGTCAGAAGTACACAGATGTGGGATTTTGTCCACCCACACACAGAAGACTTGGAGACGGCCCAGGAGAGTTTCCATTGGCAGCTTTGCAGCTCCCCGTGGTCCACACAGCGTGGATCTGCCTGGATTGTGGACACGCGAGTATAAGGTGAACGTGCAAGTAAAAGACCTTGGGAGGGGTGTTGGGTAATTTTCAATGTAACTTTACAAAAGAAAGTAACCCTTTAAGGCACAGTGTAAGAATTTCTGATGACAAGCTGACAGACACCACAGCTGTATACAAGTCTCAGCAATTACATGCATACAGGTACTGTATGTTGGCTGTCAGTTGGTGCCCGCGCCGTCATTAGTTTGCTAAAAGTTAGATTTTGTGTGCACCTATTGCCCGGTCCTCACTAAGCGTCAGCAGCATAAGTCCTGATGAAGGGGGTTTGTGAGATCCCGAACTGCCCTGGCCTTTTCTCTACGGACTTTTACGCTAAGATCATTACACTGGACTGGACTCTTTGTTTGTATGCATACGGGGGGCCGATGATTGACCCTTGACGCCCCTTTCTAGAGGTGTAGGGCCGTCTGCTTACATTAATCTGTATAGCAGCATTAAAGCAGAACTCTAGGATATGGTAACCCCAAAACTGCGAGGGTTAACTGCTCATTTGGGTCTAGTGCCAGCATTCAGTAGCTATACTCACCTGATCCTCGGTCCTGCGGCAGTCAGTGCTCACCTCTCTCCCCCTCTGTGGTACGTCCCTCGCTGTCATCATGTCTAATGCAAGTCAATGGACCTTGCATTGATGTGATGATGTCAGTGGAGCTTAGACTGCTGGAGCCCTGGGGAGAAAGAGGCTGCAGGGACCAGTCTAGCAGCCAGATGGGATCAAGGATCAGGTAAATATATCTTCTTTAATCAACTCCCTAGCCCAAAACGAGCAGTTAACCCTTGCAGCGTGGGGGTAGCACCACTGCAAGAGTTAATTTTTGCATATTCTGGCGTTCCACTTTGAAGTGAACCTGTATATATAGAAGAGAACAGTACTGGGAAGTTGTTGATAAGTTTCACCCATTAAGGAAACCAATGAAAATAGATATGTGGGAGCTGCCATTTCTGATGTATTTTTAAAGCAGAACAAACAACTTAATAAATTATTAAGTGTGAATAAAGCTACCTCTGGACAGGTGTGTATTATCGGGGCTGATTGCTTCTATTTCTGCTGCAATTCATACATTTGCATGTGCTGGGGACTACAGTCAGTGCTGGACTTTCTGTGGCTCTCATACAGTGAAGCAATCATGTTAGTTATCCACCGCCGCACTCTCCTTGCCCATTCACAGAACACCTTGCAGTCTATGATTGGATCACAAAACACCTTGTAAAAAGAAAGTTACCTCTGGACAGGTGTATTAACAGGGCTGATTGCTTCTATTTCTGCTGCAGTTCATAAACTTCCATATGCTGGAGACTACAGTCAGAAGCATGCGCAATTTTAAAGTCTTTATATTTTTGGCATCTATTTACCCATCGCAACCCATCTTTTATATTTTACCAAAAATTGGGTATTCTATTATGTTTGTGTGCACTAAATGTAATTTTAATGTATTTAGTTTCCTAAAAAATTTTCATTTGCTCAACATTTGCACAAATATTGTGAAACATAAAAAAATTGCAACTAGCATTTATTTATTTTTTGCGATCTGTGTCCTATTGGTAGATTTCCCTTCACTTCCTGTTTGATAGCTAGAACGGGAAGTGAGAGGAAATCCCTCCAAAGAGAGGGAAATCCCTGGTGGTCAGCAGGTTCACCAGAACTAGTGGCCTCTGCTTTCAAAAATATATACCCTGTTTTCCCCGCAAATAAGACTTACCCCAAAAATAGGACCTAGTACTATTTTTGGGAATTGCTAAAATATAAGACCTACCCCCAAAATAAGACCTAGTTGTGACCATTCCCAGGGCCGGTGGTGGCATAAGGGGGAACTTGAAGAGCCGCGGGAGAGGCAGGAGAGAATCAGCGGTACCAACGAAGCCAGCGCTAGAGGAAGCGAGGCGGCACCGGAGGGAGCAGAGCCGCATAAGCCGATGCCTCCTCTATAGAGCTCCTGTCACAGGCGGAGTGATACCAAATCCTCTCCGCCTGTCAGGAATCGATAGTGAAAGTGCGCTTTGCTCATTCTGGCCAGCGATTGGTTATCAAATTGCTCTTGGAAAGGTACGGCACCCCTGATTGCACTGATCATCATATTTTAGTACATAAATATGTGTGGATTGTTGTACATTAAAAAAAAAAATAAGACCTACCCCGAAAAAAAAACCTAGTGTGTTTTATTTGAGCCAAAAAAAATATAAGACAGTGTCTTATTTTCGGGGAAACACGGTATATAATCGTCTGGGGACTTTACACAGGTTTCTAGCCAAAAATTCAGATTTGAACAGGTGGGTGCAAAAATGAAAAAAACTGATCTGATTCAGTTCAAGCGGTTGACGTGAACCTGTACCCAGACTATGTACAATAAACTATTTACTAGGGAGGTTCAGATACCAAGTACCGTACTCAGTACAAGTACATGTACAAATACTTTTCCAGCCCCAATACTACTAGAAAAAAATTCCAAAGTTAGGAGGCAGCTGTCATTTGTAAGGAGCACACGGAGCTCCTGGGATTTGTACATCTCTGTTATAATGTAGGATTTTGTTTTTATAAATATATATAAAGGGATGCACCGATACCTTTTTTCCAAGTACAAGTACTGATACTTGCCCAAGTACTCACAGATACAAATACTGATACTTGCCCAAGTACTCACAGATACAAATACTGATACTTGCCCAAGTACTCACAGATACAAATACTGATACTTGCCCAAGTACTCACAGATACAAATACTGATACATTTTTGTTTATTGTCATGTGACAGTTTTCCTAAAACAATACAGACTAATGATTTCAGGACAGTGATGGGGCGCCAGAGTCAGGTCCCAGCTGCAGCCGCTGCCACCCTGGTAGTTCTTATGAAAATGCCAAGTATCGGCACTGGTATCTGAACTGGTATCTGAACATCCCTACTATTTACATATTCTTCATCAGCTAAAAAAGAGCTTTAAAATAAACCCCCTACTCACCTCTGTAGCTGCTTTTACTGTGAAGTGATTCATTCTCAAAGATTG